GAGAATACAATAGGCCCAATTAAATGCACTCTTTACATACAAAGCACCGTAACTACTACGGCCGATATCGTTCCCAGGTGTGAGCGGGTCTTCTATGCATAATAGAGATGGTCGATGACCATCTATCATGTCTCGTTGAATCTATTAATGAACATGTATAATTAGTATCAAAAATACTGACTGATATAGAGCCTCTATAATGTAACACAAATATAAATTAGACCTCTTCTTTCGATATATATTGACCACCATCCTTTATGCGAATGCCAGTCTTAACATAATTGAACTTTCTCCCATACAGCTCCAGAAATTCAATCAATAACACTCCCAGATTGGTATTTGGACAATGAATATCCTTTCTCGGATGTAACTGTAATCAATCCAAATCTTGATTCGGCAACGGCAATTGATTTCACGAAAAAGTTGTGACAATAATAAATATGATTTCAGTAGACATGTTAGCAACAACAATTGTACTCACTTGTAAAAAACTGATAGTCATGAGTATTAAACTGTATGAAGATATACCGCCAGTGAACACTTCGTTAAGATCTCTTTGTAGTAGAAATTGCTTTAACACCATAACTAGCTTCTCCAGAACCGGATATTGCCTCTTATAGGAATTTATCAACTCTGCAGACTTGACGCCGTTATTCATGTTGAAACTAATGTCCACCTTAATTTCACTTTCCTTATCGGTCAGTTTGACGATCGGTACGCTGGCCTTATCCAACACTTTAATAGAAGATGGCTCAGCGATATTTCGATCTAGTAAAGCACGTTCCAAAGTACGCAATGGAAGATTTGTCCACATCCCTATTACTACCAAATCTATATCACTGTAACAACAAGAAAATCTCTATACATACATTTGAGAGTACTTGGCACGAGTCTTTGGTAAACAAATATTCCTCTCAGACTAGATTATTCCATCTTTCGTTAAAACTCACTTATTTATTCATTAGATAAATTATTACTTGGCTTATCCAAAAGTGGAACAATCGGCCCTCAGATTTGTTTACAAATGCGTAAAGATACCTACCTTGTAGGCAAATATAAACCAGTGCGAAAGCTACCAAATACTTCGACTTTAGAGTCTGGCCAGAGATCATAAATTACATTTTCTATCCTTTTTACAACTCTCAATCTTAATACATGCTCTTCGTGCGAGGGACACATGTATGAAAAAAAATCTTCTATTTCCTCGTGTAATCTAAACAGAAATATAAACCTGTTCAATGCCCAGTATCAACATCTTTAAAATGATGTAGAAATAAAATATGCAAATATAAAACAATTCCTGATAAATACAATCACAAAAAACTTAAGAAATAGAATTTTCATCTGAATTTGAGACATCTTTGTGAAAGATACTCAGCATGCCTTGTCCTTGAGTTTACAATGTATCTCTTGGATAGATACATGAGATATGTTTACAATTTCTTATGCCAGCCAACAATACTTGACAACAAAAATTTTTTTGCAGCTGTTTACAAGTTTTATTTGTAAACCTATGTAGAAAGAGAGAGAGAGAGAGAGAGAGAGAGCGAGCGAGAGAGAGAGAGAGAGAGAGAGAGAGAGAGTGTGTGTATGTGTGTATAAAATGTCATGTACAGGAAGACTCTCCTCTTTCTCCGAAATAACAAATTTAAATCCCAAAAGATTGCTATTACCCCCAGCTATTACTCTTCCTTCGACATCCTGCCAAGTCCTCAATATCACCTGGAGGCATTTGTAGGCATTACTTTGTTCAAGCTGGCGGCCAACATAACCTAACAGACAGCCATATGGACCATGTGACGCAATCCCTCCCACCTCCGTGTCGATGATGTGGAGCCAGATATACTCACCCGATTGTCCCCATGGAGTAATGCTTGTTGGTCACACGCCACGGACAGCCACCGTACTCGCCCACAAGGGCGTCGTAATTGTAGTTCATGCCGTAGGTGCTCGCCCGATTTTCGCCTTTCCTGCGGGACGGGTTGTAATAATAGTTGCAGGCGTTGTGGGGCACGCGGTGCTCGCCATTGCCATTGCCAGTGGCACTGCTGTGAACGACGGCGGACGTAGGCCGGCCGTTACTACCGTTGCTACTGTTGCCGGCATTGCCGCCGTTGCCGTTGCCGCTGCCGCTGCCGTTGTTACCAGCGCCGAAGCCGGCACCGGCACCGGTACCGGCACCGACAGCATTGCCGGTGCCGATGCTGTTGGATGACTGCGTGGTGCCGGCCGCAGTCGTCGCCATCGCCGTCGCTGCCGCCGGGCTCGTGTCCAGCGCGAGAAAGTCCTGCTGCAGCCGTACGCCCATCGCATTACTCGTATTTGCGTCGTTACGCAGGGTCAGAACGTCAAGACCCTTCTCGGCCTCCCAAATGTGTAACCAAAGATCCTTGGCAGGGCCGTACTGCTCCGGTTGGTACCAACCGATGGTCGGATCCATTAAATTGGCGACGTTGGACGGGGGGACTCTCTTTGGTCTCCTCCGTGCGTTCGTATGTGTTTGTACAAGTGTGAGTGTGTATATGTATGTGTGTGTATATATGTGTGTGTGTGTGTGTGTGTGTGTGTTTGTGTAAGTGTGTGCGTGCTCGCGCGCGCGCGTTCCGACGCCGTGCGTGCGTGCGTGCGTACGTCGTATGTGCCGTGCTGTGCGTATGAGCGGTCGTGACGAGCGGGTGGGCGGGCGAGCGGACGGACGTACGGACGTACGTACGTACGGACGGACGGACAGACGGACGGACAGTCGTGCGAGCGGGCGAGCGAGCGGGCGAGCGAACGGACGAGCGAGCGAGCGGGCGGGCGGACAGACGGACGGACGCACCACGTCGCGTGTCACTCCCTCTCTCGCTCTCGCGCGCGCGCGCGCGCGCGTTGTCCGGCCTCCTCCCTCGTGTCACAGTAGTCTATCCGGGGCTCTCGGCACTTGTCGCGATATCGTTCACCGTGATATCCGCTTTTCGCAGACGGTCGGGTCGGTCGGCAAGTTGATCGGCGGACTTGGCGGGCAATCTTTCGATCAGTCAATCGTAACCTGCCAAGGATATCAAACTAAACGAGATTTTCATACACGCACCACGACTCCACGACCGCGGAGTACGACGGAACCGAGCGTAAATGCACCACGACTCCACGACCGCGGAGCACGACGGAACCGAGCGTAAACCCGAGATTCGCCGACGGCGCCCGATTACCGCGCCGATTAAAGGGGTGATTCTCGTGATATATATCGCGGTATTCGCACCGTTCTAGCCGGACGGCGGACGGGACGGACCCGGGACCGCGCTCCGAGCTCCGATTGCTCCGATTCGCGCAACCGTTCCGTGCAAACGCGCCCATCGCGGTATTTGCACTCCGCGGAGTGCTTTTTTTCACGAGAGTTCACATTCTTTCCAATTCTTTCGCGAGAACCCGCTGAAGGATGCTCGATAAATATTTCAACGTAATACAGAAATTATGAATTATAAATTATTCTGAATCTCATATGTAAAAGTAATACGATACATTTTTTGTAGTGACGATTTATCGCTTAGATCATAAATAAGTTTTTTCAAAATAAAAACTATAATATTTTGTAATTTGTACTCCAATACAAATGTATGGAAATGTATTTATAAAATAAATGATCAAAATTTTTTTCAACTTTTCAATACTTTATGTATTCAAGATTATTTATGTAAAGTGATACATATTGCGATGCAAACATTAATCCAATGAATAAACAAAAAATATATATTCATTTGTTTTAAATCTTTGTAATTAATTTATTTGTTCTAAATCTTTGTAATTAATTGGTGAATCGCAATAAATAAACTTTGCATGAGTCATTTTAAATACTAAAGTTTTTATACAAAAACATTGAGATTTTTATTATTATTTAAAAAATTGTAGTTTATAGTAATAAAAATAATGACTAAAAGTAAATAAATTATAAAAAGATGTTCATGTGAAAACAGAATGTTATAAACACAATTTTCATATAGTTTGTTTAAAGTATAAATATTAATATATGTGTTATTATAAATGTTTATTAAACATCCTGATTAGGAACTAAGAATATTATATATCATATTTTATTTCTTAATAATATTTTAATTCTCGATGAGAATTTTGACAGCAAGCTGGTGTCGCTTCTCTTACTCTTATGTGCGCTTCTCTCTCTCTTTCTCTCTCTCTCACATCCAGTTTCACAACAACATGGCAGAGCCAATCGCGGATCGAGTCGGCATTGGCCGATCTCTTTTAGGATCTCTATGTGTCGTACGACGCTCTGCAACCAATCAGAAAATAGGATTGTGAGTGAATCCAGCATGTGTCTCTTGTTGGAAAGCTTCCAAAGAAACCTGACATTTACTACGTTTACACGGCACTCTTTACGCCGAAGTTATAACATCGATGTTGTGAAACTGGCCAATCATAGTTATTCCTCTGAAGAATGGAATGACTGTGATTGGGCAGTTATATAACATGTTATAACTTCGGCGTAAAGCGTGCCGTGTAAACGTAGTAATTGATGTCCAAGTTTCTGATTGGCAGTCTAAAGGTGCAGTCCAACGACATATATGTATACATAGACCAAACATTCTGAGTCCGGAATCAGATCAGACTACGCATTGAAGAATGGTCGCGTTCAGCAGACTCAACTGAGTGGAACAGATCCGTGAGCACTCGTTGCTATTGGTGTATTCTTCTAGATCATCCAATAGCAGCGAGCGCTCACGGATCCGCTCCACAACAGTTGAAATCTGCTGAACGCGATCAATAAGATTGAAGATTGAAGTTTGACCAATCAGAACAAAAGGAACCAAAATTTCTTTGTCCTCTCATTGGTGAAATTTCAATCTTTAATCTTTAATCTTAATATTCAATGCATAGTCTGATTCCGGCCTTTAACTTATTGCACTGTGTGTACTAGTTCAGAAAGTGTAGCAATAAAAAACAGACCGCATAGATGTCCTAACCTCAATAGTTGTCAATTTTAATACTTAATATTTTAGTTCACGGAGCAGAGCGACACTTTTTTTTGCCAGATTCTTTCGTTTCGCAAAAACGCGTCCAATGAATGTAATTTCATCAAAATCGAAGTGGAGGGGAGTGTTCTAAACAATTACCGAGCATATTATGTATTTACATACCTACATGAATAAACAAACGGGGCGAATTACGCGTTCTGGTACGAAAAGTGATCTCTTCTCGTCGATCCTTTGTCATAATGTTAAAGCTGAACAAATTTGTGGCTAAGATTATTCGTGGCTTCGTGCAATGTGCATGTGTGACATATTGCGTGTACGAGTATGTGGGCGATATTGTCGTGGTAAGGATGTGATTACGCATTTTTTCGTATTTGTCATTATCAGATCTGATGCCTTTTATTTTGACAATATAATTATTGCTGATGTAATTACAGTGCAGTGGTCCATCCATGGAGCCCACTTTGTACACTAATGACGTCTTGCTTCTGGAACGAATATCAGTTAGATTGCAAAGGCTTAAGAAGGGGGACATTGTCATTTCCAAATGTCCCAATAATCCGGAGCAGAATATATGCAAGCGAATCATAGGCCTGTCTGGCGACAAAATAAGGAATGGCTTCATCATAACTACGGTAAATTTTAAATTATCGAGACACGTTTTGATAATGTTTTTAGTCCCTGGAGAATTACTTTGCATACAGTTTGTTCCTTTGGTTAATAGTTCTGCATGAATTATAGAGAAAAACACATTGATAAATGTACTGATAAATTATTTTCTTACAGATACCTTATGGACACGTTTGGCTGGAAGGTGACAATAGAAATAATTCTACAGATTCACGAGTATATGGACCAGTACCTCATGGATTGTTACGTGGACGAGCTTTATGTAAAATACTTCCTTTGAGAGATATAACTATGTTTACAACCAAATATGCAACTTAAATTATTTTTTATATATAAGATATTTGTATTAATTGAGGATTGCAAGAATATTCACTAAGTTATATTTTATTTAGACTAGATTTAAGAAAATAAAAAATTCCTGGTGTATTATATGCAATTAGTAGCATAAAAGCATCGTTAGCAGATTTTTGGAAAAAAAAACAGTATTATATATATAAAAAATATAAAAGTTATACTTTTTTTATTATTTTATATCTCTACGCTGTATTCTAAATGTTTTAAACTTATATATTATATATTTTTTTTATAAAACAAAATAGAGGAAAACTTTAATTGTTGAAATTGACTGTTCCTTAAAAGACTCATGATGCAGACGGAGAGTTAAATGATTATCTGTCAAATTCTGCATGCTTTGCACGATTGTAGCAAATAAACTGATCATATTATCATCAGTGAAAATAAATGAAACTTACAAAAATAGTGCGCGGAAAGATATAGCGTAATAAAATAAAATATTTTTTATCACTCTGTATAGCATATCACATTACAAGGTTGCTTGAAAGTCGATGAACAAGATTATCTCGACGTAAGCAGCGTTTGCTTGTGAAACAGTTAGTATACTCCAGGACGTCGTAGTGACTACTTCGTTTCTGCAATGTAAGTGCTAATTCTTTTACATTCAATTGCATTTTGAATTAATAATGTTGATAGCATAAATATATAGTTACAGTTGCTCCTCGATTGCTGATCGATCTCGAAATATCGATTTACGTACCGTTTTCACTTTTGATAAGTCTCAAATATATCTATTACGTTACAAGTAACCTGTTTGCATATATCGGTCCGTATTCAGAACGCGCTTTTATCGATAAAGGCGCGTTTTTATCGATAAAGGCACGCTTTTATCTTTGAAATTCTATAACATGCGTAACGTAAAGTATAGTATGTTAGCGCGCTAACATCGTTGTAAACGCGTTCTGAATACGGGCCATAATGTCCTTTAAATATTGGCACATCGGACGCAGCCATTTTGTTCAACACGTTTTGGAATTGGTTGTGTTTCAACGTATTTTTTTATAGTGGTTTCGAATGCAGTGGATTTGAACCCGACCCAAATTTGGTTAACCCGTGTTTGATTTGAAAATATCATGACCTCGTTCAATTAGAAATCAAAATAAAGCATAAAACGGTTGCACAATAGGGCTGCGTTCAGAATTATCATCTGGGTGCACCTAGATATTCTTTTATCCTTGTTTAACATTCGTGAACAACAAGGATAAAACGACATTTGGATGCCTCTGGGCAACGATTCTGAGCGCAGCTTAGTTGAGTTTGCTGAACGCACCCATATTCATGTATGAACAATTTTTTTCCGAGATATTTAATTATTTATCCTTGTTTTATAATTAATAAGTAGATTTATTCACTATAGGCAGAGAAAGAAGACCTTTCGGATAAGGGCGCTAATTTTCTAAATATCGCGGTCCAGCTGCTTGCAGCTCAAAAGAGTATTTCATAAATAAAGATCTGCTATTGTGTAAATATTAGGTTTTTGCATGCTTAATATAACACAATAATAAAAAAAAATAAAATAACGAAATTACATGGCGTCTAAAATTAATATTTTTGAACTATTATTTTTAAATTATATTAGATGTACATATATAGACATCTAATAGACGTCTATTTGATTTCGCGTTTCTCCCTGGATATACATCAAAATAATGATTATTATTAAGTACACGTACATCATGTATATATATTACACGCATCGCCGAAATTAAAATAAAATTCAATAGAAAGTTACTATAATTAGTATCCGTATCAAGCGCACGCTATAAACTAGATCAATTAAACTGATAGAGCTTCTTCTTTTTCGAAAAATTTAGATGGTGACTTTACGATGGGGCATCGCTAGCGCAGGAAAGATTTCGCATGATTTTGTGACGGCACTGGAATCTTTACCAGCTGATGAGCATGATGTCATCGCCGTTGCAGCGCGACAATTGTCACGTGCGAAGGATTTTGCAAAGTTGCACGAAATTAAGACGGTTTACGATGATTATGAGAAATTAGGATTGAACAAGGATATCGGTACATGATAATTGTGAATTGTATTAATAATTTTGCAATCATAATAAAATTTCACTGTAATATCCTAATGAAAAAAGTTTTATAATATAACATTTTTAAGAATTTTTCATAATTTAAATTTATATTTTTTGAAAAATATCCTAAATTTTTTCGGATTTTATAAATTTTAATTGAAAATTATAGAAATCTTAAGATATTTTTGAATTCTAGTAAAAAGAATTCTCATGTTTTTTATAATATTAAAAAAAATTTTTCTATATTTTAAATTTATGAAGATTATTGAAAAAAAAACTTTATAAACTTAGACTTATAATTATATATAAATTTTAGAAAATATATGTAGATTCAACTTTCTTATCATTTTTGAAAAATACAAATTTGTTGAAGAATCAGAATTTAAGTTTTCTAAAATTATAAAATTATACAGAAATTTTTGAAAAATTATTTGAAGAATTTAAAAAAAAAATTTTCATTAGGGTATATATGTGTGTGTGTGTGTGTGTGTATATATATATATATATATATTTTTTTTATTATGGTATATATGTGTGTGTGTGTGTGTGTGTATATATATATATATATATGTATATATATCAAAGAAGTAAGGTTCAAAAATAGTATATCTCTATAGAAATTGTTTTCAATTAAATTTTATATACTTGTATTTGTTATATTTCGTGTATATGTTTCAAGACATCGTATATATCGGAGCGATTCACCCTCAACACTTCGACATTGCGATGCTTATGCTGAAGCATGGCAAGCATGTCCTGTGCGAAAAGCCATTGACGATGAACCTAAAGCAGACCACTGAATTGATTAATTACGCGAAGAGCAAAAATTTGTTCCTAATGGAAGCCGTGTGGAGCCGCTGTTTTCCCGTGTATGATGTTATTAGAAAGGAAATCGCGTCTGGTAACATAGGCGATATTCATCAAGTGATCGTTTCCTTCGGTTTTCCAATGCCTGATGTGGATCGGATAACGTAATGTTTATTAATTGTTTTAGCGTCTAAAAGAGGCAAGGCAATTAATTAATTAATCAATCAATTTACAGTTTGAAAGAGTTAGGCGGCGGAACAATTCTTGATCTTGGCATTTACTGTTTACAATTTGTCTGCTTGGCATATGATAACGAAATGCCGGAGAGTATTAAGGCGGTTGGAATTCTTAATGAGAATGGCGTCGATATGTTCATGTCGGCTACTTTGACCTATAAAGGGAACCGCACCGCAACAATCACGACAAACGCGCTGATTGAACTACCGAATGAGGCGTACATTTGCGGTACCAAGGGTATGATAAAAGTGCCTGATTTTTGGTGTCCGACGAAGGTGGAATTGCCGAGCGGCACTGTACGGGCGTCGCTACCGAAATTAAAACACGAGATTAACTTCATAAATTCCGCCGGGCTTTCCTATGAAGCTGCCGAAGCTCGTAACTGCATTTTGAAAGGTAAAACTGTTAGTGTTCTAATCCACCGGGAGTCTCTTATCTTTTATGAGTTACTTTAATAATCTCGAGAGGCAAATTGTGAAAATATTGCACAATTATGGCATCTTGAATTAACGATAATTTTGCAATAATTACGCTAAGATGATTCGCCATAACGCAACAGCATTGTCAGAAATTAAATGATGCATGTCAAAATTAATTAAGCAAACAGTTATTAATATTTTAGAAAAGGACAAGTTTCTGCATTTGTTTTTGTTAGTATATCCGTATAATTACAGATTACAAAATTTATGCATCATTTTGTCATATAATTTAACAAACGCTGTCCTATTGGGAAATGTTTTTATAGTAATAATAAAATTGATTTTTTTTTGTATACACACAAAATCGATAATTATAATATTGAATATTTTATATTTAATTATTACGTTTAATTTCCCAGGTTTGATAGAAAGTCCAAACGTTTCGCACGACACATCTTTATTGCTAGCGAAGCTGGAGGATGAGTTGCGTAGACAATTGGGCGTTGTGTATCCTCAAGATTGAAAAACTATATATATATTTAAAAAATAAGATATATATTCAATTTATATTATAATGTCACACATGTATAAATTCAGAGAAAAGATTTTTTCTGAATACATCTATAGCTACAAGTTGTAATAAAAAAGTCTTTCTCTAAATTCTTATTTTTTAAAATATATCATTAGAAAAAACAATTAATAGAGAAAAAACAATTGAGAACAACAGAATTTCTAACAGTTTGTCGTTTTCTATCGTTGATCTCACGAACGTACAGTCAAAAGCAATGAGGTTGCGACACTTTTTTTCGATGCATTTTGGAATGCAACTTACTCATCGAGCAATTGGTTCTTATTTGTGGATTTATGAATAAGAATCAATCGCTTGGTGAGTAAGTTGCATTTCGAAACTCGTCGAAAAAAAAATGTCGCAACCTCATTGCTTCTGACGTACATATATACATCACTCTCGACTTGTGTGTGTGTGTGTGTTGTGTGTGTGTGTGTGTGTGTGTGTGTGTGTGTGTGTGTGTGTGTGTGTGTGTGTGAGATATGATTAATACCTGAATTATTCTCAATTTGAAATAGAATTTTCAAATAAACAAAAACGGACCTTCACTACTCCCGCCGATTATAATCCCTAACAACAACAACCTAACACAATTCATCGGCGCTATATTGGTCCAACATATCCCCAATGTATGCCAATATTTAACCAACTTTTTGCTAATGAATTGTGCTGCTAGGCATCGACCTCTTTCCAAAAAAAAATCCCAAAAATAATTAATAAAATAATTAAAGTTGGAACAAATTGGCTGCGATTTAATGACATAAGTTTTCCGACTGCTTCTATGAAATAATTTAAATAATAATTAAATTAATATTTAAAAAATTTTTTTGTGTAATAATTTAAATAATATATTTATTCAAAATGCTTTTATAATAGCATTTTCGACCCGAGCAGATTTGCTCCCATTTGGGTTGGATAATGTTCTATTATTGGTTGACGTTACGTGTTTCACCAACAGGAAAGCATATAACGTCATTAATCCAATTTAGGTTGGTGCAAAAACCCGCTCGGGTCGAATACGCTATAAGTGAGTTATAGAATCGTTGTTCAAATTTGCCGCTCAATGTGACGTAATTTGGATAAAGTCTCTGATTGGCGCTTTCGGAAATATGCGCAAGTCCCTGAGCCTCTATTCTGTAACTGTCTTTATACGCCTACCGATAGTTGTCGGTGTTGTTGCGCAGATATTTTATATAGTGAAAAAGCTGCGCAACGACACCGACAAATGTCGGTAAGCGTGTAAAACAGTTATAGAATAGGGGCCCTGGTATGAAGGCTGTGAGGCTGTTATGACGATGATACTGACGCCGTATGGTTTTGTTTGTTATTCTTCTATTTGAGGCGTTTGAAGCCAGTGTGGACACTCTGGACCAGTCCGCAAAAGGATTGAAAGGAGAGAAAGGCGGAGGCGAGATGTATGAAAACACGCGCGTATCGCCGCGAGTATTTACGGCGATACAGAATGTTGATATCAAAGAATTATCGTTGTGCTCGCACAAAGAGATTAGGCCTATTCTACCGTGTTTGGTTAGGATGAGCCTCATTTCACCGTTGGATATAACGAAGGATTGCGTGGAAGGTAGAAAGCAAGTCCTGACGATATTATCTGGTATTGAGTCTGTCAATTCTATTATCGCCCTGTTATCGATCGATTTCCACGCCCTCGAGACCGATGTCCGACAGGAGCAGCAGTTGAGGTTAAGATACTTACGCATTGTTATGTTTTTTTTCTTTTTATAATATATATAATATATCGACGACGAACTTAACATGGGAATGATTATCCAGTCTTTTATTGCATTAATTTTTACACTTCATTTAAAAGTCATTATTATATTAAACAATAAAGGAGAGTAAATTTTTTTCACACGACCGTTCGTTTTATTTCTACATTTTTAAATATATTTTTCTTCATGGAAAATGTAAATTTATTTATTATAATAATGACGCTACACTCAAGGAAAAATTGAGGAAATAAAGTTAATAAAATCCTTATTCATATCATTACGGAATTAATGTCAGTTATGCTGCAATTCAACAATAATTTATAAACTGATTCAAAGAGTGATATTAATCCAATTCTCTCTTAGTTTTTGAATTATGATTTGACAAATCCTGTAAATCAGTATGTTATTGCATTGTGTACTATTAAATGTCCTACAATTAGTGTTAGATTATTATATATATGTATGCACATTCGAGGTTGAATTGTAAAAATTGTTGCAAGATATTAAAAATGCACCTTTTTCTTAGTGCACGCGCGCCCGGCAATTCATATGATGTATCCACGAATCTGATCTGTATTGCTAAGTTAATAATTAGGTATGAGGTCGACAATTTTCTCATAGGGAAAAAAACTGGTTTAACTACTCTGATTTACTTTGATTTATATATTTATATTTAATATTTTCTAAAGAAAAAAAGCTCTAAAGAGAATAAATATTTTCAAACAATAAAGAAAGTTACTATTGAGTTCAATTTTGAGGTGAAAAAAATTAGGGTGACTATTCCTGGATTATCATTGAAGAATATCTCTTCTTTATTGAATTCTTTATATTACAATCATTTTCAGATTCACATTGTTATATAACTTTTATATTTTGAGGTATAATGATATGTTAACATTCATCTATTTCTTTTACAGACAGAAGCTCGGTAGTGTTCAACGAGATAGTGTGCTGGCCCAGTCCCTGCAGAGTGGCTTAGCGCTGGAGTTTGAACGTAGTGAGTCCATTCGTAGAATCAGATTAGTGCTCAGCGAGATCTTATTCATAGCGTCTCAGATACAGGAATTGCAGAAGAATCAAGAGTTCCAGGTCAAACAATCAGATCTGTTTGACAATGCGGTTTACATGGAAGAGATAAGCTATGTCATCTGTATTGCTCTTGCCGAACTGCCAACATTGTTATCCATCCTGGACATAGCGGAGACCCTCCTGCATGTCAAGCATGGCCCCGATATTATTTGTTGGATTGTCGCCAACAGTCCAGACAGTTTTTCGGAGGTGTGTACGCATCTGATTGCTAACGGGGAACGACAGGAAGAATCTGCGTTGGGCAGGATTAGGACACAGGCAATCACGATGCTCTGTCAGATGAATCCAAGTCAAGCACTGGCAATTAGAGCTAAATGCGTGGAGTTGTGCCGAATGCCCGCTCTGGCTATCACTCTGAGTTTGGAGCATGAAAACGCAAATAGCTTGCAGCCCGAGAGCGATGTGGTTGCCTTTGTGTCTGGTTTATTACTTGGTAGCGACCAACAGGTACGCTCGTGGATCGCTATGTTTATTAGAAATGGACAGAAACGCAAATGGGAATCACAGACGGCTCTGCAATCGTTACGGGAGGAGCTGCTCAAACGACTGCAAACGATCGCGTCACAGAGCACGGATAGTCAATTAGCGGAGTCGCAAGTCGTACAAGCGAGCGCGTTGCTCAGGCTCTATTGTGCTCTGCGAGGTATCGGTGGTATCAAGTTTCAAGATGATGAAGTTGCAATGATCGTTCAGCTTCTGACGTCGCATCCACCGCCATCACCCGCTGGTGTTAGATTCGTGTCGCTCGGCTTGTGCATGTTGATAGCATGCCCTTCCCTGATTGGGCATCACAATCTAGAGAAACGCAGCATCGAGTGGGTGCAATGGCTGGTACGAGAAGAAGCCTATTTCGAAAGCGCAAGTGGCGTTACTGCCAGTTTTGGCGAAATGTTGTTGCTGATGGCGATACACTTTCACAGCAATCAGTTATCAGCGATCTGCGAGCTGGTCTGTGCTACACTCGGGATGAAGATACCGATCAGACCTAACAATCTCACGCGGATCAAGCAAATCTTCATGCAGGAGATTTTCACAGAACAGGTGGTCACTGCGCATGCCGTTAAGGTACCAGTTACGGCGAATTTGAACGCCAATATCCCTGGCTTCTTACCAGTGCATTGCATCCATCAGCTGCTGAAATCACGGGCGTTCGCGAAACACCGAGTACCCATCAAGAACTGGATATACCGGCAGATCTGTGCCAGTGTGCCACCGTTGCATCCAGTTCTACCGGCTCTGGTTGAGGTCTATGTGAATTCTATCCTGATGACGAACAACAAGACGTCCGAGCATACAAACAAGCCTATTACCGAGAACGAGATCTGTCGGGTGTTTCAGAACAGTGTGTTTGGGGCAAATTTCGACTTCAAAAAAAATCCCGTCAACACCATGCAGATAGACGCTGACAATATGGACATCGACACATCAAAACCTTCGCTCACCTCCCAGTTACTACTGCTCTATTATCTCCTGCTCTACGAGGACGTGAGATTGTCCAATATGCACACTTTTATGTCACAAAGCAGAAAAGTCAAGTCGTATTCTACAGAATTTCTGTCTGAATTACCAATCAAATATTTATTGCAATTAGTCCAGCGGGATCAGATGAACTATGCCAGTTTGTTCTCACCACTTCTTCGGTTACTGGCCACACATTTTCCTCATCTGTCTCTGGTGGATGACTGGCTCGACGATGAGATGATTAACATAGATTCCGCCATCGCGAGCTACGAAAGCATGAAAATTAACGATATTGCAATCGTTGAGGCATTCAGCCACGCCAAAACTTGTCCATCAAGGACCGGTAGATTATTGAGACAACTGATGACGCTGAAACCGACTGAAATCTGGCCTCACGCAGAGTTGATAATACACTATTTCAAGGACATTCTTGACAAGCAAGTTCCTAGATATATACAAGGTATTGTCTTAATAATTAATTATTAATAAAAATTGACAAATTATACATTAATATTAATTATAATCCATATAAGAGGGATTTACATATTATTAATGAAGAACTCACAGGACGGTTTTTTAATTTCAGAACTTTATAAACAAGTGTGGCTCAGACTCAATACTGTATTACCGCGTTGTCTATGGGTTCTTTCCATAAATGCGTTGCTAATAGAAAATTCAATAGTGAAAAATGTTTTTTTGACACAAGACAATATCGTATTAGATCCGTTGCAAGTATTGAGATGTGA